GGACGACAAAGAAATTTAAGGCCTGATTTTAAAAGCTAGAAATAACAAAACTTACCTTATTGTCTAATGATGTAAAAATATATACTAAAATATTTATATTTTTAAGATATAAATATATTTTAAGCTACAAAATTTGCACATCAGAAAACTATGTCTTGTTTACCACGTCTTAAATATTTTGTTTTGTTATTATTTTATTTAATAACATAATTTTGTATTAATGTGTTATAGATATGCATACTTTGTTTTTTAGGCTGTTTATATTCTCTCCAGAGTAAACATTTTAAAAAATAGATTGAAAAAAAAAAAACTTTTATCATACCTTTAAAATACATTTGACCTAAATGACATTTAAACTCATTTAACTGATCGCATTAATCAGGTAATCATTGATATGCAGAGATGTCGTCTTAAGCGCGAGGAAATATTAAGTGTTGATCAGTGCTGGTGATTGAGGTAAAGTTAGTTTTATATTTACACATTCAGACTTTCTCCTTAATAATATAATTTCAGAAAGATAATTTTTGCATATTCTTAATGGTGAAATCATATTAGCAGCCAATGACTTTCAAAGTACAACATTGTTCAGTGAAAAAAAATAGTGCATTTAGTGTAATATTGTTTTCATGTCATACTTGCATGTGATTTCAGAACGAATAGACAAAGTACCATGGTAAACAATTTATGGAGCGAGTCACAAGTTGTTACTAAATGAATGTATGAATATAAAACCAACTTTACCTCAATGTGGTAGTGTAAATTGAAGCTCTGCTCTTTACCTGCTCAGGTGAGGAGCGCAGCTTAAATGTTCTCCGTCAGGCTATCCTCATACATGGATCAGCAAGCAATGTGACAATGTGACAGAGTTAAGTTTTCAGACTACGTTTTTGCGCGTCATCAGAAAATACCGTTTAGTGTTTAGGCGGAGATCATTTGAGTTATGATTAACGTTACGTTTCTTGCGCCTTTCGTTTCCGAAGTGCCTACAGATCGCGAAGATAATACCACATTTACATACTGGATGGAGTTCAGCGCAGCGCCATGACATGCGGTTGTGAGAGCGCGCGTCTCCATGACAACTTCAGCACAGGCTGAGAAAAGGCATACTCGCGCCAAGATTTAAATTTTTTTGAAAAATGTAATCTGCCGATTTTAAATATTTTTGTCTTTATCACACTCTGTTAAAATTCAGAGTTAACACATTACAACTAACGCTAACGTTGCACTGATTCTAACTTTTTAAACAGTAATGTTAACGTTAGTTAGCAACAAGTGAGGCTAAACATGTTTTCTGTAATGTACGACATGTAAACGCACCCTGATTAACTCTACATTACATTGAACTGTTACTGTGATTATATTAATTAAAACATACATTTAATATTTCTTGGATTTGTAAATATTTTACTTACTGTAGTGTGAAGCGATGCCGATCCGCCATCTTGAAAAAAACGAATGAATCATGAGCACGTACGTGAACCTGGATGACGTCAGACGCAAAATCACTGGGCTGACAGATTTTGAGTTAATGAAACTTTAAAGAGACATTTTGTATAAATTAAACCCAGCAGAATTGTTCACCTTACTTGAAAGATTAAATTTTTTCAAACTCAAAAATAAGAAAAAGTTCTAAATACTCATCAAGGTTAATTAAGATAAACGAATTTTAATGATTTAAGTTAATAGAACTCAATTCAATTAATTAGTTACAGCATTAGGGTTTACAGTGTAGTTTTAACTGCTGATGGTGCTCCACGCTAATTTTTAACATCAGACGGTGCTCTAGGCTAGTTTTAACTGCAGATGGTGCTCCAGGATTATTTTTAACAGTAGATGGTGCTCTATGCTAGTTTTTAAAACTGTAGATTGGACTCTAGGTTTGTTTTTAAAAGCAGGGGTTATTCTAGGCTAGTTTTTTTACTACAGATGGCGCTCTAGGCTAGTGTTTAACTGCAGATGGGGCTCGAGGCTAGTTTTTAACAGCAGACGACACTCTAGACTAGTTTTTAACATGGCGCTCAAGGCTATTTTTTAACGGCAGATGGCAATCTAGCCAAATTTTTAAAAGCAGACAGTGCTCTAGGCTAGTTTTTAAGCACAGATGGGCTCTAGGCTAGTTCAGATAGAGCTCTAGGCTAGTTTTTAACTGCAGATGGCACTCTAGGCTACTTTTTAGATAGTGCTTTAGGCTATTTTTTAAAGCAAACTGGGATTTAGGCTGGTTTTTAACAGCAGATGGCAATCTAGCCAAGTTTTCAACCACAGATGGCGCTCTAGGCTAGTTTTTAACTGCAGATGGCTCTCTAGGCTACTTTTTAGATAGTGCTTTAGGCTATTTTTTTTTTAAAGCAAACTGGCATTTAGGCTAGTTTTAAATGCAGATGTTGCTCTAGGCTATTTTTTTTTACATCATATGGAGCTCTAGGCTAGTTTTTAACAGCAGACAGCTCTAGGTTTGTTTTTAAAAGCAGGTGGCATTCTAGACTAGTTTTTTTACTACAGATGGCACTCTAGGCTAGTGTTTAACTGCAGATGGTGCTCTAGGCAAGTTTTTAACAGCAGATGTTGCTCTAGGCTATTTTTTAACAGCAGACAGCCCTTAAGCCTACTTTTTAACATGGTGCTCTAGGCTGGTTTCAATTGCACATAGCAATGTACACTAGTTTGTAACACCAGATGACACTCTAGGCTAATTTTCAACTGTAGACAGCACTCTAGGCTAGTGTTTGTTTTACTGCAAATGTTGCTCTAGGCTAGTTCAGATGGAGCTCTAGGCTATTTTTTAACAGCAAATAGCGCTCTATACTAGTTTTTACATGGCACTCTAGGCTAGTTTTTAACTGCAGATGTTGCTCTAGGCTAGTTCAGATGGAGCTCTAGGCTTGTTTTTAACAGCAGATAGCGCTCTATACTAGTTTTTACACGGCGCTCAAGGCTATTTTTTAACGGATGTCACTCTAAGTTTTTAACAGCAGACAGTGCTTTAGGCTAGGTTTTAAGCACAGATGGTGCTTTATGCTAGTTCAGATAGAGTTCTAGGCTAGTTTTTACAGCAGATGACATTTTAAACTAGTTTTTAACAGCGAATGGTGCTTTAGGCTAGTTTTTGACAGCAGACAGCACTCAAGGATAGTTTTTAACCGCAGATGGCTAGTTCTAGGCTAGTTCAGGTGGAGCTCTAAACTAGTTTTTGATAACAGATGGCACTCTAAGCTAGTTTTTAACATTGTGCTCTAGGCTGATTTTTAACATGGTGCTCTAGGCTAGTTTTTAACATGTTGCTCTAGGCTGGTTTCAACTGCACATGGCAGTCTACACTGATTTATAACACCAGATGGCACTCTATGCTTGTTTTTAACAACAGATGGCACTCTAGGCTAGTTTTCACTGCAGACCGCAGTCTAGGCTAGTTTTTAAAAGCAGATGGTGCTCTCGGCTAGTTTTAAACAGCAGGCAGCGCTCTAGGCTAGTTTATAAGATGTCGCTCTAGGCTAGTGTTTAACAGCAGATGGTGCTCTAGTCTAGTTTATAACAGCAGACAATGCTCTAAGCTAGTTTATAACAGCAGATGGTGCTCTAGGCTAGTTTATAACAGAAGTTTTACCATAGTGTTTTGGGCTATTTTTTAAAAGCAGACTCCACTTTAGGCTAGTTTTAAACAACAGATGACACTTTAGGCTAGTTTTTAACTCCACTCTAGGCTGATTTTTAACTGCAGAAAGTGCTCTAGACTAGTTTTAAACAATGAATGGTGCTGTAGACTACTTTTTAACAGCAAATTGCACTCTAGACAAGTTTTTAACAGCTGATGTCACTCTGTGCTAGTTTTTAACAGCAGACGGCACTCTAGACTAGTTTTCAGCAGACGGCACTCTAAGCTAGTTTTCATGTCACAAGATTAATGTATACAGCTCACTATGAACACTGTTGTAATTTTTGTATGGCGAATAAACAAGTTAAGTCGATAATAAGTGAGTCATCAAGCCATTTAATCTATATTTGTTTACAAAATGCATATTCATCCAGTAATAAAATAAGTGTAATCTTTATAAGTTAATCGAGTTGTTTGTCTGAGATTTGTTTAAAAAATTGTTTATTCATCAAAGTCTTTATGAGTGAGTCAATGAACAATTAATCACCTATATTTATGAGTGACATTGGTTTTTGACTGCTAATACTTTTCAGGTGTGATGTTAATCGGTTTACTTATTTACTTATACAAATAGGTATAAGGACAGGTAAAACATTATATTTATAATGATTACTAGATTTGTGTTGTTTATATATATTTTTCAAAAATATTTTAATAAAAGCTGCATCAGCCTCTTATTATTAAGGTTTTTATTTTAGCACGCTAATGGTCCTTGTTTTACAGAATGACCCAGTTCAAGATAATCAACGGTTCACGCTGTATAATCTGCAGCTCCTTGGTTTCCCTCAGGACTGGAATCAGCTCCTGACTCAGACACTATTCTTCATAAAAGTCAAAAGTCTGCAGTCATTCCTGCAAGCACAATACTGGATTCCAGCTTGTACTGTGTGTGTGTGTGTGTGTGTGTGTGTATATGTATATATATATATATATATATATATATATATGTATGTATGTATGTATTGGCAATGCCAGCATGATTTTTGCTGAGACATATAGCTGAAAGTGTGTTTACATTCAAAATTTAGGCATTTTAACCAACAGTAGACTTACATAGGCTTAATATTAATGTAGTTGTTTTTAAATCATATGTTTCAGAATAACATTAATAACATGCCACTCATATTAACTTTTATTCTACATCTACAGAGTCGTGAAAAAATCATGACCTCGATTTTAAGCAAAAAAAAAAAAAAAAAAAAATCGTGATTCTCATTTTAGCCAGAGTTGTGCAGCCCTATTTCCAACTCTCCGTTCAGTTGGCATGCCGTTCTCTCAGATGCATCCAGCATTCTGATGGGATCAGCAGAAGATGTAAGGTGACCTTTCCTCCATTTCTCCCCCACAGGCGGAGCGTCAGTATGAAGCTCATCAGGGCCACCGCTCCTCAAAGCCGCCCAAGGACTCCTACCTAGTGGAGCAGGTGTTCAGTCCACACCACTTCCCTCCCACTGTCAAGACTCACGTTAAGGGCAGTCCTCTTTACACGGACCTGCGTCTGACGGGCCACGCGGACGGGAAACGCTCACAGCCCTCCTGGACCATCGAAGAGTACAAACGCAACTCAGGAGATAAGAACAAGCTCAGCGCATTGGACCTGCAGGTGAGCCTGAACTCGCTCTATTTATAATACATGATCACCTGGCCAGATTTACACTGTTTTTTATTAGGTTCAGTTAACATCAGAGTTATAAGCATCCCCCACCCCCCAAATTATTAGCCCCCTATTTCTCTTTAATGGAAAGAAGATTTTTAAACATAAAAGTTTTAATAACTTATTTCTAATAACTGGTTTATTTTATCGTTGACATGATGACTGCTATATATTTGACTGGATATTTTTCAAGATACTAGTATTTAGCTGAAAGTGACATTTAAAGGCTTAACTAGGTTAATTAGGCAAGTTATGGTAATTACACTCTAAAAAAACATGGGGTTATTTTATCTACCCAAATCTTGGCATTGGGGTAATTTTTGGGGGTTATTTTCAGAGTCTTGGGTAGTGTCAACCCAGCTCTTTGGGTCAAATCAACTCACAGCAGGGGCTGACTGGGATACCACATATTATGTGCTAATTAGTTTAAATGCAATCAAAATAGTGTTGCATAAACGCAGGTTCCTTGCGTTTTCAGATTATTAAATTAAGATTTATGCTCATAGCAGCCTTTAGTCAAACCTTTTTGAATTAAAAAATTTATTTTCTACCACCGTCTGTACACCTGTAATGAAAGCTGGACATCACCCAACGTACTTCAGTGACGCCTAGTCAAAACAGCACAATTGCTAGGTCATCTTTCGCGGACATTTTTGGATCAAAATAACCTATTATTTAAGTAAAAATAACCAATTATTGGGTAGAAAAAAACAACCCATTTATGGGGTTAAAAATAATAACCCAATTACTTGGGTTAATTTAAAACCTGATGTGTTCTGTCCCATATTTACCTAGCAGTAGGGTTAAAAACAACCCAATTTGGGTAGTTTTTAACCCTGTGTTTTTTTAGAGTGTAGGCAAGTTATTGTATAACGATGGTTTGTTCTGTTGACAATCAAAGAATAATATTGCTTAAGGGGCTAATAATATTGACCTTAAAATGGTTTTAAAAAATACTGCTTTTATTCTATCCAAAATAAAACAAATAAGACTTTCTCCAGATAAATAAATATTATAGGAATTACTGTAAAAATTTCCTTGCTCTGTTAAACATCATTTGAGAAATATATATATATATATATATATATATATATATATATATATATATATATATATATATATATATATATATATATATATATATATATATATATTCAGAAGAGGGACAATAATTTTGGCTTCAACTGTAAATGGAGCACTAGTTACTGGAGACTAATTTTAAAAATGCCAACCTTAATTGCATCTACACTGTAAAAACATTCGTAAGCTAGCTGTTTTCCATGTTTTGTCATTCATATTTTTATTTTATTGTGTTTTTCCCTGTTTATTTATGCTTTTGAATTGCATTATGGGACCCTAATGCGGTGGCCAAAATAGCTTAACATGCTGCAATTTAAGAAAACACTTGCAATTACAAAAAAACACCAGCAAATTAAGAAAAAATTCTCATCGGCATGACAGCATACACTACCTGACCAATATCTTGTCATCGATCCCAGTTGTAAGAGAAACAAATAATAACTCGACTTCTAGTTGATCATTTGGAAAAGTGGCAGAAGCTCGATTTTTCCCATGAATCCTCTGTTAAGCTGCATCCTAATCATCACAAATACTGCACCAGCATGGAGCCAAGATTCCCACTGAAATCAGTCAAGTTTGGTGAAGGAAAAATCATGGTTTGGGGTGACATTCAGTATGGGGTTTGCGAGAGATCTGCAGAGTAGATGGCAACATCAACAGCCTGAGGTGTCAAGATATTTGTGCTGCCCATTACATTACAAACAACAGGAGAGGGCAAATTCTCCAGCAGGATAGCGCTCCTTCTCATATTTCAGCCTCCACATTAAAGTTCCTGAAAGCAAAGAAGGTCAAGGTGCCCAAGGATTGGCCAGCCCAGTCACCAGACATGAACATTATTGAGCATGTCTGAGGTAAGATGGTGGATGCATTGAAGATGAATCCAAATAATTTTGATGAACTCTGGGAGTCCTGCAAGAAAGCTTTGTTTGCCATTTCAGATGACTTTATTAATAAGTGATTTGAGTCATCGCAGAGATGTATGGATGCAGTCCTCCAAGCTCATGATGTATTCAGACACAATATTCATTCTTTTTCCACTGCAGCATGACTTTATATCCTATACTGGACATTATTTCTATTAAGTGACAAGGCTTTTGTCTAAGCAGAGTCAGAGCTTACTGTCCTAATTAAATCATTAAAAATCAAGGCATGATCATATTTTATTGTGGTAAAATAAGTGTAATCTAGAGGCCTTTGCCTTCATATAAGCCACTTCTGATACCAAATGATCAACTGGTAATCAAGTTATTACTTGTTGTTCCTAAAACCAGGACAGATGACAAGACTTTTGTCAGGTAGTGTAATGTTGCAAATCCTCACAACGCAAACACACATAAAAAAAAAAAGTGCTACACTTTCTCACAACTCACACAAATTAAAAAATTGCCTGCATTTTCTCACAACACATGCAAATAGCATGGAACATTGGACCCATGGATTTTTGATTCTTCATTCACAACTCGCCTGAATGGTTTGTCCATAAATTAGACTGATTCAGTTCAAGAGATTATTGAGTGAACAGCTGAATGAATCACTAACATGAATCCCTGATATAAAAGAATTACTTAATTGTTTTCAGGTGACATGGTGGCTCAGTGGTTAGCACTGTCACCTCACAGCAAGAAAGTCGCTGGTTCGAGTCGGTTGGCGGTTCTGAGTGGAGATTGCATGTGTTGGTTTCCTCTGGGTGAATTGGATAAAACTAAATTGGCTGTAGTGTACGAGTGTGAATGTGAGTGTGTATGGGTGTCCAGTACTGGTAGGGCATCCACTGCCTTAAACAAATGCTGGAATAGGTGGTGGTTCATTCCGCTGTGGCAACCCTTGAAAAATAATGGGACTAAGCTGAAGGAAAATGAATGATTGAATGATTTGTTTTCTGAAAATTCATTGACAAACAACACCCAAACAGGACTGTGCGCTGTGAAATATTAAGGATTTCTTCTAAAATCACTCGTTGTTGGCAATTACAGCAGACCATTGCTCAAATGAGCGTGACCTCACTCTGATTGTAACCTTGCCATTTTTTTTTTTTTCGAGGCTTTGCTGTGTGTGGGATTAGCTTCAAAGGCTAAGGCTCATGGGAATAAGAGGCTTCGATTTTTCTTTCAATCAATGCATCTGTGCCACATGCCGGCGGTGCAGCTTTAAGGTCGTCAGAGCAGTAGGTGACCCTCGTGTGCTATGAAATATTAATGATCCTTATTAAAATCACTCAGCGTCGACAGTGCAATTACTGCAGGCCCTTGGCTTCATTTCAGTGGTGAGACCAAATGCTGTTTGCAGCCTGGAATCTGTGGACAAAAAGCAGGATTGCGTCGTAAAACTTTTCTGAATTATGAGTCAAAACAATTTTAAATTAATCGACTGAAACTGTTCTGAGTGATTTACTAGATAGACATTTGCATTAGCTTTGGCTTTATTGGATCATTTTAAGAGATTATTTTTGAATCCCTTATTCAATTAATCTGTATTTGTATAGCGCTTTTACAATGTGAATTGTGTCAAAGCAGCTTCACATTGAAGTTCTGGTAAATTGAAACTGTGTCAGTCCAGTTTTCAGAGTTGAAGTTCAGTTCAGTATGGTTTTATTTTCATTGCTGAAAGTCCAAACACTGAAGAGCAAATCCATCGATGCGCAGATCGAAACCAAGCAAGCCAGTGGTAACAGTGGCAAGGAACAAACTTCACCAATTGACGAAAGTAAAGGAGAAAACCATGCGAGAAACCAGGCTCAATTGGGCACGACCTTTTCTTTTTTGACCAAACTTCTTGTGCAGAGCTACAGTTCAGGTGCTGGAGGCTGGAGAACGCTGAATGTCCACCGCGGAGAGATTTCATGTGTGTATATAGGTCACCGACGGATGTTCAGAGTGGCCCTTCGGGATCCAATTCAGTGTGGAGACTCATCTGTTAATGTGGTCTTTCAGAAATCAGTCTCATGCTCTCCACTCCTCCATAACCACCACAGCAGCTGCTCAGGATACAGCCTGGTCCAAGGTTATGGAGACCTCTAGAAGACCTCTATGGTTGGCATCATTTCTTTGTATGTGTTGTCCTTGAGGTCCTCGATGGTTGGCATCATCATCTTTTCACATGTCTTGGATCACATCAATGGCGCTGCACAATCCCTCAGGATGAGTATCCTCAGGTGGAAATGGAGAACAAAGAAAATATTTCATGGTGTATTTCAACAAGAGTTATTAAATATCAATGCAAAAATGAAGTGATATGAATGACAATCAGTTATATAACCAAACATAAAACAAACATGTAAAGCATGTCACTGAATCCAAAGGTAATTCATTTTTCAGGTTGCCATACCTGACAAATAAATGTAATTATTTGACGTCAATATGACGATGGTTTAAGATGTTGGATTTTGGTCACTTTCTTACACAATCTAAAAATCAACCAAATTTTAACATCATTTCTCGTCGTTATGGGTCATCAATAAAACATCCTTATACTCTGGCTAGACAATGAATTTTGGTCACTTGACATCACAACCTAAATCTAACCTAATATTAACATCTTGTGATGTTGTGTGCCTGCTGGGCAATAACTAAAGGCACTACAGAATGTTACGTTTACACACACATCCACAAATTACATGTAAATGCGTCAACTTTTCACAGCGAAATGCTCAATACTCATTACGCTTAAGTATTTTGGAAAGGGCTACTTTTTACTCATACTTTGAGTAATATTTTCAACAGATACTTTTACTCTGCTTGTGCTACTTTTTTAGGCAAGTAATGGTACCTTTACTTAAGTATGATTTTTCAGTACTCTTTCCACCACTGATTACATCAGAATGAAAGTATAATTCCTTTTTATATTGACCTAGAAAAGAGCAACTTTTTATT